ATTGGAATTATTGAAATTGAATTTATAAGTATTTTACTTTTTGTTATTTGAATTTTTAATTGTTAACGGAATTCCTCCTTAGTGAGAAGAACAAAGTGCGAGAATCTTTGTTATTGTTATTACTAATTATATTAACTCAGTTCTAGAAAGCTTTACGCTAGTATAGAATTACCCTTCAAATCTCCTTTACTATTCCTTTATTCTCTCTCCCCTTTGATCTTTACTCTCCCATAACTCTCTCATATTATTATTTCTTTTCAAGTAAACACAATTTCCATAGAAATTGACATAGGCCTTAGATACCTCTCTTTTCTTCTTAATATTTTCTTTATCAGTTTATACCCTCTCCCAACTCAGGTTCTCATTTGTAAGCTAATTTAACGATTAATGAACAAACTTGTAACAATAGTCTTGTTTTCAGAGTTATCTAATTTAGTATACAAATACGAAGAACAAGAAATTAAACTGAAAATCACCAATGAATTATATTAAAAGTTATTGACATGACTAGCCATCAGTGACCTGTCAGATAACTACACAAAGCCAAGATTGTTCATCAAATTGTCACTTGAGATTCTCAACTTGATGATGTTAATGTTATTATATAAAATGGGAGTGAATGAAAGAGAACAATTGCTGTTGATGTGTTCTTCAGGAAGAAATTCGCAATCGCATAGAAATGGATTGGAATATTTTTTGTAAAGTGAGATGTAATGTGAGCTGCTATTGGTAGGGTAACCAGATCTGTTAGTGGTTCTGATCTTGTGTTTCTTATATAGTTTATTTTGTTTGTCAGTGTTAATTTGTGTTGCACATCTGGAATTCCAGATTTTGAGTTTGGCTTGTAAGACGAACCAGTATGTCATTTTGTGAGCAATGGATATGGCTGATTTTTGATTGAATTGAAATTTTTTGATGAAAGTGACGAGATGGTTAGGAACGAATTGTTGATTTGACTTTATTTATCATTGTCACTATTGTAAATGATTTGTTTTTATATTGATGATATTATTGATGTTTTTAATTTTAAACTAATGAATTTTTCACATGATACGGGTATTCCATTGGATAAAAGTAATTATTACTTCTTTAGAGAAGATATTTTGGTTTTTGGTTCTGTTTTTATTAGAATAAATTAAATTTGTTTACTCATAACCGTGGATTAAAAGAAGGAACAGGAATCCATGTAATTATTATCTTTTTTTTTATACTTTACATGTACATGTATTTGGTTGCGATCCCAAAAGTTGCAACACAAGTCCCAACGCCATCGAAGGTTCTAGTAATCTTGTTATGCCAAACTAACTTTTGTTATCATCTGTTCTCTTAAAGTCGTAGAACGCCGCCGGAAAGCTAAAAGAATGCAAGAAAGTAATTAACTTCGTTTTATTTGTGCTCAGAGTGACTGTTTTATCATATAAATTGATTTTTTAAAATAAATATAATTAATAATTAACGTTATTTTTGTTATACCCAGAATTATAAAATATAAAATCTAATTATATTTTTTTTCTGTATTTATTTAACCTTGTTTAATTATGTCCAAAATGACTGTTTTTATCATATAAATTTAAAATGTATCAAATATATTAAATAGCAGAAAAATAAAATTGTTATCTGTAGTTAAGCAAAGTGAAACCTTTATCATCCCTTCGTTTAGAAAGACCGTTTTATTATATTTAAATTAATTTATTAACTATATAGATCCTTACGACCTAAATAATTAAAGATACTAAGCTAATATTTAATTTGTTTTTAAAATGGCTTTTATAATAGTGACTTGGAAAATTGAACTACATGTGATTGGTATTAATTCAATTTCAATTTCTTATGTTTATTTTAAGGAATAAAGAACTGTTATTTAATGAAAAAATGATTTGTTACATTAATTGAATTATCAATTCCTTTACAGTATATTAAATTCCAGTTTTTCATAAAATAAACTTAGGAAAGAGAAATTATTTCTTCTTTTCTAATTAATGATACCAATTTCTACCTCGAGGAAAAAATACATGGAGACAATTTTGTAAAAAAAAAATTTATGCGAGTCTATCCAATACGACTCATTAGATTTTAAAAGTTCGAATTTCTTATGAAAGTCAAGCAGCTTATTTGATTTAGTGTAAGCTTAAAGAGGATTTGGGTCATACAGTATTTCTAATCTATTCTATTTCGTCTATTAGTTTATTAATCTACGGTGAATCTATACAAATTTACAAGAAAACAAAAGTTTATAGAATGTACAAAAGAGAAAAGAAAAAGACAAAAATTATGGCTATTTGTTGACGCCAATTTGATTCTTGTGGGGATTCCAGAATTCCTTTGTGTTGAGATAAATCGGATTTAATAGAATCAATACGAGACCATCCTTCAAGTCTAGATAATTGATTATAACATAGAAAAAATTAATAAAACTTTGTGATTACACCTTTACAAAGGTCACAAGATTACTTACTCTTCAAGATAAAAATCGATATCTTCAACGACTTTAGTGTCAATAAAGGTTGTTTGAGAAATAGATTTTCGAAAAGCTTCGATTCTTTTCCAACCCAATTTTCTAGGAAATAATAAGCAGGTTAATTTTTTTGACAGCATGCAAAAATAAAAATTCCCATACTCACTCTTCAAGTTCGAATTCAGCATCTAAATTGTCTCTTATCAATTGTTTTCGCTCGCTTCTTACTGCTTCGATCCGTTTCTCAGCATTGAAGATAGCATTATTTTTAGCAGCCCATTTCCTAGCAATTACTTTAGCTCTAGCTTCCAAATAGATAGTATCACACTCCAATTTAACAAATTTCTCGATAATTGCTTCGCGCGTAAGACCTGATTCTGTCACATTATTTACATTGACGACTATATTATTTTTGTTAAAGCTGATTTTAGAAGTGGTACGACAAAGACTACGGAGCTGTGCTTCTGGTGCGAATCCTTTCCATTTGAGGGCGATTTCAAGGGGAGCTTTGAACCACGCGTTCAATTTAGGATCGGTGTTATATACCAAACGTCCTTTCTTGCTTGAATGAATAGCCGTTGTTCCATATGGAGTATTGTTCAACCCAAGGCAATTAGAATACGGAACATTGGAAAAAGAAAACTTTTTGTTCTTGGAGCTTGAATCGATCGGAATTGGAGAGAAAAATTCCTCGCTAAAGCCTGAATCGTTTTTCTTGTGAGTGTTTTTGGGTTTGGAAACTTTAGCGATTATGGAAGTGAATTTTGGTTTGGAAGTGCCGCTTGATTTTTTGTTCATTGAAGCAATTTGGAATTTACTTGGAGACATTTTAAACTTTCTAAATTAATTGAAGTTGGTTTGATTTTTTCTAATCGATTTGAATGTATTCTATGAAAACTCAATTGATTGCGAGTTGATTAAATTTACACCTTGACGCAAATTCGACCATATTTATAGACGTTTTTTTTTTTTTGGAAAATTTGATTTCCAATGTTTTCAAGTGCATTCTAAACTAATCAAAAATTTTGTAATGATTCAAAATGCAAGCAGGAACATTAGATCGATTGCTAAAATTATTGTCATTGTTTGAGCTTGTTCTAAAGGAATCATGAATTGTATTTTGTATCAGAAGATGCATTCTTAGCTCATCGAATTTTTAGTTGTATTATTCGAATTGTGATCAAATGCATAAAGTTATTGTCATTGTCTGATTCTTGCTCTAAACTAATCATTATTTTTATAGCAAATATCAAAGTTCTGATCGTTCGATCATTCATGGTTTGTGTATTAACGTGTTTTTTTCGTCGCACTAAAAGTTTGCATTACATGTACACGTATTTGAAATCAGTGAATTTAACACGTCACCGCCAACATTATATTCGCAGATAATCAAACCTTTATAAATACAAGTCCGATTTTACTATATTTACTAAGATATTTATCAGCGTCAATGCCGCGTACTAAAAAACCCAAGTTAATAATTAGAAGCAGAGATATAGAAAAAAAGTACTTATTAATATAATGAATCATTACAACTTTCTTATTTACAGTAAATAACAAAATATGTCGAAAATAGGACTCCTTCCATCTCTACTAAACGAAGAGAGTCAAAGTCAAAGAAAAGGGATGTTATCTTGAAAGAAATTCTTGAAGACACTATCCAAGACAGTGAAGTCTGGTTTAAAGTGATATGCGATGGTAATAAGATTTACCTATGAAGATAGCAATAATAATATACTAAATTGTTGTTCTTGCTCTAAAGACGCAAATACTCCCGTTCGATGGGTAAAAGGACTGGATTTACCTGCCGAGTGTGTCTATAAAATAGATGAATATATGGAGAAGAAAAAGGCAAAAATTTTTCATGTCTTATCACAGTAAAAATATTTTTCTTTCTAATTTTTGCTGCTGTATTTTTTTAAAATAGAATAAGAAAAAGCGTCCACATATTCATCCATATATGTTACGCTCAGGCAAACCTACTCCTCCAGATCCGGAAAGGATAGATCGTACAAAGCAACGTAAATTATCGTTATTGTTTAAAGTTTTACATGTCAGTTTTTCTGTTTCTATAATAATAAAAATTCACATTTTTTATAGTGATAATTAACAGCCTGCTCTCGTATGATGACGACGACGAAGACGACGGCGACAATGCTCATAACAACGGGTAAAGGTCCTAAAATATTGCTTTTTGATTAAATAAAATTAATATTCTAATTTGAAAGTAATTACAGTTTACAATCAACATCTACATCAGACCGTAACTGGCCTCAAAAAGCATCCGATAAACAGAATGAGAATGTACTCGGATGGGATTCACTTGATTCTAAAGTCGATGACGATTTACCTGGACAGGGTTTAGAAGTCGACTTACTCAACAATAGTAACCAATCAAAAGCTTCTCATCCAAAATCCAATGTGTCTAATCTTGAAGTCGATGACGGCTTGCCCGACTGGAGTGCAGAAGTAGTTGATGATGATTTGCCTGGCTGGAATAACAACCAAGATAACCAAGAAATGTCACCAGAAAATGAAATCAGAGAGGAATGAAGAAGCTGATGGCTACGTATGTAAAAAGCTTACAAAAAGATAGCAAACATGGTGAAAAAGTTCCTGATAATGAACCGGATGAAGATATAATTGAATTGATAGTTTGAGTTTAAGTATTTTTACTATTGTTTGCACGACAAAAACGAAAACAAGCAATGCGCAACTTTTATTTCATAAATAGACTTGCATAAATTTAAACTATAGATTCATACAATTAAGTTTTGAAAACTAAAAGTTGTATATAATTGCAAACAAAAAGATTATTTAAAATCATGGGGTTAGCTTATTCAAATATTCTTGAAAATGATTGGTATGCAGGAGAAATCACCAATTTTGTCGAAGCTGCTCATGCTGATGCCAATAGAAAAGAATCCAAATGAGTTTATTACTGACTTGCGATTAGACATTTTAAAAAAACAGAAAAAAAAAACGATTGGATGAATGTCGCTTTAATACAGAGTGCCCGTAATATTGTGAACACTCATTAGAATTAAAGAAATTCATACATTTAAGAATTTATTTACTATATGATATTTTTGAATTCTTGCGATCTTTGCAATTCTTAGAACTTTCTGATACATGTTTCTTAATAAAGCAAAAAATTTTCCGAGTACTGTATATTCATAGTGATTGAAGAGTTATTTTTAGTAATTTAGATGCAATAAAGCAAAAGGCACTTGAGATTATAGATCCCATCTAATATTTTCAAATCTTGCTGTATACATTATAAAAAGTAGGTTCATAAATTGATTTTTATCAAAATTGTAATTTTTATTTTATATAATAATATTGTTAATTCTAAACCATCTTGAAAATTAAATGTATGACAAGTTTAAACTATATTATATGAATTTTTGAGCCTACTAGACTTGAAGCATCAGGTATAAAATTAAATTATCAATAATTATAAGTTCTATCATTTTTTTAATGTTATTTCAATTAAATAGATGGTAGTTAGTTTCTTTAAATTTCATTATTCAAATAAGTAAAAGTTGTCACCTATGTTTTAATGTTCAATAACTTCACTTATTTGAATTATAGGTACATAAAGTTCAAAATTATTAAATGATTAGTGTTAGAAATGTCATGGTCCAACAGAGGTCAGGTTCATGAACAATCTGAATGGATCCAGTTCATTTTTGAAACCAGTCCATTTTATAGAGATTGGATTCAGATATCTATTAGTATAATATAGTGGCTCATAGAAGAAATGGAACACTGGAAAAAAAATGGCAAGATACAAATACTTCGTCATTGAGAGAATATCGATAGGTAAAAGTAAGTCAATTTGATTTAATGATACTTTGAGTATTGATGTATCAAAAATTATTTTGTTCTATCTTCTAATAACAAATATGATTTTTTTAGTATTTCATTTAATAATACTGAATCTACTTGTGAATGGCAGGCTATAAAAGCCAAATACAAATCATTTGGAATTCGTATTTACTGTAAATAAATACATTTCCATATTATGCAGCAAATATTTTTATCCCTAATGCCTTGAATTTCACAAGAAAAATGCATCTGAATACATATCTACCAACAAGAAAAAATGAGTTTAGCTTCAGTCCATAAAAAAGACTAGAAGTTTCGATGACAAGCCAAAACCCAGTCATTCACTAACTCTTTTAGCACACTATAAAATAAATGGATGCTTGTGATTAATCTACTCTGAAAAATGTAACATTACTGTTGAAGTCCAACATGAGTTGGGTAAATCTATTGGCGGAGAGCATAAAATATATGTTCCAAAGAAACAGCTTATTTATGAGGATCAAGTGAAAAAGTCTTACCTCAAAAAACACGTAAGAAACAATAATTGATATGGGTGAAGAAATACTAAAGTTGGATGGCCAACGATTGGTGACACATAATTTTTTCTAATGAAAGCAAGTACCAAATTTTTGGATCACATGACCAAAAATATTGATGAAAGAAACCTGACAAACTGTCGAAGACCAGCATACCACACTAACTGTGAAATTTAGTGACAGTTCGATTATGATTTAGGGGTTGTATGTAGGGCTGTTAAAAGTCTGGTTCGGTCCGATCGGCTCCAGAAGCCGAGTTTTTATTGAGGTTCGGTCCGAAAG